GAAATTTACTAGCCAAATGATATGACACGATGCAACCAACTGAAACAACGGAGCAGTGATGGGAAAATCTTACAGAAGATGTTGGTAGCCATGATGGTTTTCTCAAGTATAGGAGATCAGCTGAAATACTGTATCCATTCCTACAAATCCCAATAAATAGGAAATATATTCCCAGCGGTTAGAGAGAAGATGCTAATGTTTTGACTAGGAAAAATAACGTAATCCAGAATCTGTTTAACTTGTACTCACAACCAAGCTGGAGGAGGACAATGAACATGTGTAACTCTTAAGTTACAAATATCCAGAACACCTGACCTGCAGCACGTTATAAAATGGAAGCAAGAAATTATAAAATTGACAACTGAAATTTTTAGTGACCAAAGGCGTAAAACATGGGACCCTAAACAATGTCTTAGCTATTAACTTTATCATTTAAAATATCAGTAAACAATAAATCACTTTTCAAGATGTCTAGCTGAACCACTAATTGCTTGCAAATTAAAGATGATCACATCATGCAATTGAAATGAGTCTCACGCATCATTCATTTAATCTATTTTGTGCACCACAGTGAAGATCAATATCGATAGAGTAATAGACATAAAAATAATATAACTAATGCTCTCATTTTCTAACCTACCAACCATCATCAAGATGAAATGCCAGCTGATATGGGCAAGATGGATCGAGATCAATGGAATGTATTTCCTTTGTGACGATATCTGACTGGGCCTGCATAAAAATGAGACTATTTGTTAAGAGCATACTATGAAAAGGCAAAAAGCAATTCACCTTTTCCCACGTCATGAATTAGCTACAATTAGTCTCCACTTATTTAACATTCCATAATCAAATAGTATCCTAAATCTACCTCATGTATATAAACAACTTTTGAGAAGGAACTAAAACCAATGTGCTACTCTTTTACAAATGGATGAGCCAGCAAAAGCAATAGAAACATAAAGATTCTATGTAGGTCTCGAAAAGAAAATCTAATAGGGGCAAATTATTATTCTGGAGGAGGAAGGAGGATTTGGGGCTGTTGTGTTAAGTAGCACTACTACCACTCCTGTCAACAGTCGAACCGTAAAATAAATAAAACTTACCTTTAAAGATCCTATTTTTGCCAGCATTGATGCCAATGTCAAAGAAGCTAGAGGTGGATGAAGTACCTGAATTGGAAAAATTCAGAAGGTGATGAAAAGATCATTAATTCAATATAATGCTATCCACTTCTGATGCTATACTGAGATGACATCCATATGAATATGTTGAAGAATAAATCAGACTTTTTATGACCAGGGGGACCAACAACTAAAATTTGCACAAGCCTTTTCAGACCAAAAAAAAATGCAAATCATTCCCTCTTCATATGACTACACATCGTTATAAGTTGTTTCTATTACAGAAGTCCTCACAAGACCTGCCCACTATAGTGCTAACATAGACAATCTAGTAGGCATTTATGTCTAAAATTCAGTACTTTACCTCCTTATGACATTGAAAAGCAGCAGCTGTTCTTCCCCCTCGAAGATCCCACATATAAATAATACCATCTTTACCAGCTCCTAAAATGGTCTGCAACATATGAATTGATTAGTGTCATGGACCCTTCAAATGTACCGCCGCATGTTGTATTTTGGAAACCTACATATGCCCTTCTAGAGATTCAAATAGGTAAAACTTTATAACGGAAAAGAAGAAGCAAGGTTTTGAATCAATTATTAACCTGATTTTCCACGTTTGATCGGATGCTGTTGAGGTTGCCATGAGAACCAGTTGTCAGCTCAAGGCAAGGAAGAATGCCCATTCTTCTATCCCAAATATTGACTACACCATGTGTATCAGAAGCAACTAACCTGCAGAAGTTACCCTTGAAAAGAGCTTCCCTTAGGATTATTTCCAATGTTCTTTGCATTGCATAGACCAAAAACATCATCTCTTTACTAACCTGGAAACATCAGTTGTAAAAGTAATATCACATAGACCTTTACAGATTTCAGAACCCAAAACAGAAAGAGGCCGTCTTGTTCTTAGCACCTGCAATAAGTATAAAAGTTTGGTGGCAAATGAATGGGAAAACATAATTAGAAGGAATCAATCTACAAATTAGTCAATAAAAATTACTTCAAACAAGAGATTGACCCCCAAAACATGGGAAAATCAAAATAGAAACTCACTTGCACTGGTTTAGAAGAGATATAACCAATATCAAAGATAAGTGCTTCATCACTTTTCAATGATATGCAACCAACCTAAAAAAAATGAAAATGAAAAATAATAAACAAAGATATTAAGCCCATTGATGATCCAACAATGAGATGCATTCACAACACAGCTAGTGATTTACAGTAGAGATCTTTAGGAGACAAGCAATCCTTACAATTTTAAGTACAAACTGCAGTGAAGTTAAAATATCTGCTACATGCAATAAACCAGCTATGATTAACTAAACATATTAAAGTTTCCACTATCCAGATATGGAACTGAATCTTAACCTCGTCTTGGTTAGCTAGATTCCACCGAACAACATCAAGTTGCCTTTGCAAAGATAGGTGCAACAAATGCTTAGTTTCATCTTCCTTTGAGCCTAGATTAAAAGAAATTAAAAATAAATAAATAAATCAATCAAATTAAAAAACTCAATAGAAAAATTTGTGTGACAAGAACCACTATGTATAAACATTCTCATGCAAGATTATCCAACATCAGGAGACATAACAAAATAGATTTCATAGTTATGTGTAGGCTAGGTAATAATCAATTAAATATTTTTAGCACAGATTCTGGATATATTAGATAAACTCCACCACGATGGCAACAGGTGCCTTTAATTACACCCAGAATCTATGAGCAGGACTTGAAAACTGAGATATGTTCTTAGGATTAACCAAGTTGATAAAGAAAAAGAATGCAATGCAAGCCTTCCGCTGATAAACTTACATAACAAGGATTCATTACTCAGGCAATATAGCGTCTCAAAGTCATGCACTGTCAAACATCCTGATTTTGTAACAGACACCAAGTATATTCCCTGGAACAGATAGAAAAATAATATCACAGAAAGGAGGGAATATCAGAAGAGATGGACAATTTCAGTAAACTGATTAGCCATATGAAGAAACATGCATAAATCATATCAACATTAAGAAGCACAATAATGAGAGCCAATCATTGGCAAAACCAATCATTTCAGAAAGAACAGTTCATCGAAAAAAGTGAGAGAAGAAATAACAATTCCATTAACAAGAGTCCAAAATTCACCTTGTTGTCAAAGTCAACTGCAGATATTCCTTGCCTGAGAAAGAATCATAATAAGCAATCTCTTGAAATCAAACAAGAGGTGAAGAATACAAAAGGTAAATACTGCCTACAGACCCATTAGTGGAAAAGGAGAGCAAAATCCATTGCAATACAACAAATTTCATGATTCAAAAAGTACTTTAAATTTCCCAGCCATCATCAACATTAAAAATAGGAAAAAAAATTAAAATTAAAGGAATGGGAGAGGAAATACAGACATTTGAAAGGGAGCTTGGCGACCGGCATTGAAAGCATTATTCATCCGAATCATCTGTTAAGCAGATTATAAATTCGTAATGAGGCAAAAGGATAAAGAGAAAAACTTCAATTACTGATACACAATGATGCATACATGTGTTGGACAAGGATTTCCATCAATGTGATAGAGATGAGGAAATGCCCCTATCTGGCCATCGAAACAACATAAAAAAAGCCCAAAAAATAATGTAAAAAGTCAGTAAAAGGGCACCAAACAAACACGAAAATTCAAGAAAATCGCAGAGAAAACCGAAGTACCTCAGAATACGACTGCATAAGCAAAGAAGAGAGATCGTGGCGGTACTTCGAATCGAATTTCCCGTCCAATTCGATGGTGCTCCGCCTCCATCGCAGCCTTGGATTGGGCTTAGGGTTAGGGTTTTCAGATACAGGTTTCTCAGGAACCATGTACTTGTCCATCCCCCACTGCTAGTCTGGGTTCGAGTTTCCTCCCTTGTGACTTTATTACTAATCTTTTCCCGCGATTATGGTTTTCGCTAAAATGCGCCTAGCGAAAACCGCGCCAAAACTGATTTGGGCGGATTCGGGTCGGATTCCGGATATCCGGTAACAGGCCCAACTGATTACCCTTTCCCTTTGCGCAGATTGGGGATCCTTTTCTTTGGTGAAAATTTGATTTGAATCGAATTTTATTTAACAAACACATGATCTGCAAACTAAATCGGAGAAAATTTTCAGCCGGAAGATTTTCGCGGAATTGGAATCTATTTTCATTTCAACATAAGCATCGATCCACATAGAAAAACCTAGACAGTGAACAATCTAGAGCAAACACAGACGATATGTATCCAGTGAAATACAAGGATCAAAAGAAGCTTTTAAGCCCTCTCGCCTCTAATCCTCCTAGCAAGCTGGATGTCTTTGGGCATGATGGTCACTCTCTTTGCGTGAATGGCGCACAGATTGGTGTCCTCGAAGAGCCCCACGAGATACGCCTCGGCAGCTTCCTGGAGAGCGGCAACCGCACTGCTCTGGAACCTGAGATCGGTCTTGAAATCTTGAGCGATTTCTCTCACAAGCCTCTGGAAAGGAAGCTTGCGAATCAAGAGCTCAGTACTCTTCTGATACTTCCTGATCTCCCTTAGAGCGACAGTTCCAGGCCTGAAACGGTGTGGCTTCTTCACTCCTCCGGTTGCCGGTGCCGATTTACGAGCAGCCTTAGTAGCCAACTGCTTCCTCGGCGCCTTGCCTCCAGTCGATTTTCTTGCTGTTTGCTTCGTGCGAGCCATCTCAGTGAAGAACTTGAAGATTCTAACCTAGCTTTGCAGAAAGAGAGCGTGAATTAGCGTGTGAACTGTGAAGTGATGATGGAGAGAAGGATTTGGGGATTATTTATGGAGGAATTTGGGGACGCGGGGGAAGCGGGAACTTGAGAATTTTGCAGTGGTTTGTGCGGTTCTTCGATTTTTTTTTTGAAGGAGTGAATATTTGCCGTCGGATCAAGAGGTTATGGACGGCTGTAAGCATTAATAGATCATGATCCGCGTGAAAGGCAAGCAAACCAATAGGAAAGGTCTTTCGAGGCAGTACATTTTAGATTTTGGATCGATTAAGAATGAACGTGGGTCGTAGATTGCTGACTTATCGACGGCTACAAATAGACGATGTAGAGTGTCATGGATCGTAGACAAAAGGAGAAGCCGCACGCGTATCTTTTAATTAGGGCTGAAACTTGGTTTGTATTTACGGTAAAAACTTAATTTTAACACTTTCCTTTAATAAATTTATAAATTTTAATTTTTTACTTTATATTACAACCTTTGTAACTCATTACCTATATGAATTGAAAAAAATAATCTTTATTTAATATCAACTTATACTATTTTATTAATTTTATTAACTAATTATTGATTTTATTAATTAACTATTAATTATGTTAGTTGATTATTAATTTTATTAGTTGATTATTAATATTCTATTAACAAACTAACAAATAAAATTGAATTTAAATTTTATAGTTTTTATAATGAAATGTTAACATTTTTTATAATGAAATGCTAATAATCAGTTAACAAAATTAACAATCAATTAATAAAACATTAAATAAAAGTTATTTTCTTTGATTTTTTTAAGTATGAGGTTAAAAGTGTTGTAATATAAGATGAGGAATTAAAACTTATAAATCTATTAAAATAAAGAACTAAAATAGGTTTATGCCGTATTTATACATTGTATCTAATAAACTTGGACCAAGATCATGATTCACTTTGTGTGAATCAAATCAAATCCAAATCCGCGGACCGGAATGGACGAATCCACAGGGAAACCATTAATTTTTTCACTTTGCTCTTTTTTTTTTTCTCCATTAATAAATATACATATTTAAAATATAATAAATATATTTGTTTATATGTTAGAAAAATAAAAATTAATTTTTAATTTATCAATCTTCAATTAAATTCATTTATTTAATAATAATATTGAAATTAATATTAATTTTTACATTTTTATATTAATTTATAATAAATATATATCATTAACATGAGCAAAAAACCATTTTTTTGTTACATTTAATAAAAAATTAAACTCCTCATGATACAAATTATACATTTTATAATTATTGATAAAATTAAAAAAATTTAATAT